AATTGTTAATTACTCTAAACATGTTTTCTTATCGTCTATAAATATCAAATATATTAATTGTAAAATTAGTGTCAAAGTAAAAAAATATAATATCTTATCATATCTCACGCAAGGTTAAAAAAGTGGAAATCCTCAGATCTTTTAAAAATTTTAAGATCTTTTATAAATTTCGAAGAAAGAATTTTGTTATGGTGAGCGATGATAGAGATCGTGATCGCTTGACCGTGAAATCCATAAAAAGATCTTTGATCCAGAAACGATGGAAATCGAGAATCTCGGTCGAATATCTTCCTTCAAGCGAATTTTTGCATTGAGATCGTATGCTATTCTTCAAAAATTTCATCGCATATATTTAAATATAAATTTGATCGTATCTTAATTTCATTTATATTGATTAACGGATTGAAATAAAAGAAATTTTGTCGAGATTTAAATTTTAATTTCGAGATTCAATCAGATCATTTAATCATGGGGTTGGATTGTCTAACTGTTCAAATAATAGTCCTATTATAATTACCAATACCATACACGTCATTGACCGCGCAAGAAAGTAGAGCTTCCGTCAGTCTAAGCGGAAGTGCTACGAAAATGCTTGTTATTGCGATCGATGTTGTTTGATTCGGTCTGCTTAATATTCAGCAGACTGTATTTAGCTGCATTTAGCATTAATTAATATATTTTTCATCGAAATTCATTTGCTTAATATATAAATGTTATAAGATAAATATTTATTATAAAATTATATGTATTTAGAAAAAAAATATAATTGAATGATTTAAAAAATAATAGAATATAAATAACTTACTAATTGCTAATTTTACAATTTAATTTTATTATCATATTCAATAAACATTAATTATGAATATTATTTTCACTGTTTATCGAACAATAAAATTTTGGAATAATTTTCTGTTCAAGAAATTTATTTGAAACTCTTTAAATGAAATACTATCGTGCATTTCGGTCCTTTCCGTATAAAGATACATGCTTGTAATACAAAGTAAATAATTGGCTATCGAGTCAGGTTGACGAAGTTCTACGAAATAAAGAGTAACGATGAAAGTTCAACATAAAACAATGTAAAGAGAATAAATATCGATAATTTAATCTAATAATCAATATCTCATAATTAAAATAGTACTTTAACGTGTCTCAGTAAAAATATTATCCATCAGCCATTTGTGAGCTTCCATTTAATTCCATTTAATATTTACTGTTGTCTACGAGATGTTAGTAAATTAAAAAAAACGAAAAAACGAGAAACGAAAAACGAGAATTCTTGAATTCTGCACATTGATACAATGATCTAACGCAGTTTACGTATCCATGTATGTTATGTGAAAGTATTGCACGTGCGTCACATAACATGCTTTAATTACTATTCTGTACTGTTCGACAAATTCCATTTCATCTTACATAAAACTGGTAAAAGTCGAGATTTCGTTCTTTGGTGTTACGCGTCATCATCGAGCAACAGTTTGAAAAGAAGAAATAAGAGTACCGTTAGATACTGTGAACGGATTCAAGGAGTCTGGTATTGGCTTTCTCAATTCACTCACGCCACGTGGATAAACGACACGAACGATGAAAATACGTGATAGAAATGCATCTCTCGTTCTGCACACGTAACCTGGATTATTCAAGTTAGAATCAGGTTGCTCGTATTCGAAAAATCGAAAGTTATTTTATCTATTAAGATAAAAAACCGTAATATTTTTGGAAAATATGCTTTTGAATCAATTAGAATTGTTAATGACACGAAAGTATCGTAAACGATGCAATTATAATAATAATTTAACAGATAATTTTCAAAGTTTTGAGAAATATCGATGAATTTTTGTTAAGTAAAAATAAGTTATTGATGAATTTCGATGAAATATTTGATTCTTATTATCAAATCATAACTTGCAATTTACCTTCTATCTGTCGGTATTAAAGATTATATTCAACGGATTCAATATGATTTATTGTGTCAAATATAGCATTTGAGAGGGTCTATTATATAGTTTGATGTACATAATTATTTATTAAGATTTATAATATAAAGATTTTGAAAAGAATCTATACTTTTAAAAGTAGGTCAACTATAATATATCCGACAGAAAGTTTTGTAAAATATTACGAAAGTTTGGGAAATTTTTTTATAACGTTGCTAGATATATAACGAAACTATACATACGTATGCTCTGTGAATTTGATACTCGTACGACTTTTCCTCGTTATACTTCCTCGACTTCAACTGTCACCTCTTTGATTTCATAAGATTAAGCACGCGTATGCGTTGTATCATGAATGAATATGTCATACTGTTTTTTTTTTTAAGTTAAATGGGAAATGTTAAAACATTTTATGTTTTTCCATAGACTCGAAATATACTATGTATTGTCTCCATATTTGCAAAGAATTGAATCTCGAATAGATCAACGATTTCTCGCGCGATTTCTATATTAAGTTTTATATTGTGCAATTATGCAATACAATTTATTTTAAAATATTAACAAAATTACCTCTATGATATTGTTTATATCTGCTTATAAATCTGCTTATATATACTTCAGCAAATTCTTATGAAAGCTCTTGATGTATGGTGAATAATATAATCGTGTCTATATTTTAGACAAAGATTTTCGTAAATTCTTGATAACACATGTATGATATAACGATATTTGTACTTTTTAACATGTCTACGCACAATATATAATCAAAGGATTCACACATAAATAGAAAAAAATGTTTCTCGATATGAGGTTACGAACACAGTCACACACTAAATAATAATGTGAAATAATCTTGCATTTCTGTATATAATGAGTGACGAAAATGCATTCCAAATCGAATTCGAATGTTTCTTTGTGTTATTGTAGGTTACACAAAGAGAATTATGGATCACTGTGAAATAAGACAAAGGAAATTAAAACGAAATGAAACTATATCGCAGTCACAAGGAGGAAGAAGGACGAGGTCGAAATGCGCAAATGATGACAACCGAACCGTTTGAACGTCTTTCTCGCACTGAGAGACGAATCCAGTTGAGCAATAATACAGCCACCAGACAACCAGTAGAGTGTCACGCACTAACACATTCTCTAGGCCAACGTACCTTGCAGGGGTATATGCGCGCGCGTCTTGGCGGTAAATACACTCTCCACCGGTCAACTTCATGGGCGCCGGCGCAGTTGGTAGCATTGCTAGAAAAAACGACCCCTTGATCCTTCGTGCCAGATTCCAAAGATCATGTTTTTCTCTATCCCTTCTACAAGTAAGTAACTAGTTGACCGACTTTAAACTATCCATTGCTTATTATTCGATGTGATTGATTTACATAGGACTTTCAGATTGTGAGTGTTTTCTTATCTAACTCAATAATTCCTGATATTTAATTGGACCTATTGATTGACTGAATTGTCATTGCGCGCCATTTGATTTGTGGTAAGTGTTTAACCTCATTACTGATGTTTCACATAATTTGATATCATTGTCTTATTAAAAAATGTTAATCATGCTTGAGATTTCTTTCACAAATTTTATATCTTTCATAAATTTTATAGAATGATTAAAATCTATAGATAAAAAATCGAAATTTCTTACGAAATTACATATTAATGTTAGCTTTTGAAACATTTATTTTCTTCTCGTTTACGTCTATTTTTTGAGGCTATTTTCAAATTTACGTTCACTGACGCCAATGTGCACACGCGCGATCCTTATGATTGCACCATGAAACTTGTACATATGCGTTACAAATGTACATACATGGATTCTGACTTCGTATTTGTTTTTTTCACATACTATATACACGTTTAAAGTAGCTTTCGATTTTACATATCGTTGGGCGGGTATGGGTTTGTATGCGTGTATATACGCACTTTTCGCCATGATATGTCGTAAATCGAAAGTGCGCAGTCTACAGTTGATCGTTAGTGCCGTTATTTTCCGTGTGCAAGGACCCCTTATGCATTGAACTGTTGCGCAAACTTTTGCAATTCCAAATTGGTCGCAAAGATATTTACCGCGAAATTATTGCATTGCTTGCGACACTTGTCTTTCTTGGATAATTTGTGAAAAGCTATCGTCATGATATTATGCAATCGATCACTTCCGATTTAAAATATAATCTTTCGCGATCTTCTATCAACATGTGATTCTGCGACAGAATATATATAGGAATTGAAATAGAAATTTATCTGATTTTTTATTTTTTAATTTTAAAATTATAATATAATATTTATAACGACATATTAAATATAGAATAGTGTTGTAGGATAATAAAAATCAATTAGTTTTGAAAGAGTAACGATGTTGAAGTGAAGATTTCAAAAGGAGAATCTCGACGAGTCAACTTTCTGTTTGCCCTATATGCATAAAAAAGAACTTCGAGATAATTTCATCAGTTGTGAATCATCGAATAATTGTTACCTATCATTTACGACATGAAATAAGCAATCTCATGCATAATTTTTAACACGTAATATAGATTCCATTTATGTACAAGTACTATGAAACGATTACAATTTAAATATGGATGATAATGACATTTTCTGAATTTATTGTGTACTAAGAATGCATTTGTATTCTGAGGATATATGCTATAATATCATTTAAATTTGAGCTATCATGTAAATTTGTGCTAAATAATTATATTTTTATAAAATTTAAATGAAAGCATAATAATATTTTGCAACTTTTTTTAAAACTAATATTGTGATTAAATATATCTTATTCAATTAATCTGTTTGCGAAATTACATCACTAGATGAATATGTAAATGCAAAAGTTGTTCCAAACATTAATTAAAGAAATATATACTCTCTCTATATTTATGTCAATGTATTTTTTCTTGTTTCGAATCGTTTTATTATTATTTATATAAAACAAAAAGACAATTTCCAAATAATATTTAAATTTTAATATTTTTTTTTTATTAAATTAAATTAATATACAAGAATATAAATTTCTTATAAATAAATAGTAATAATAATCTGGTATTGTATTTTTTTGGTTAGAATTTAATTTTTTATCGAGAAACCAGTTATATAAAGAAACAGGTTCGTGACTTCAAGAAAAATATTCTTCGATTTAAAAATGCATAGTCTATCACCGTGAACACTATATAGTATTCAGTAAAATTCGAACCATTTCTCGCACTAATTCTTTATCAGTCATTGTGATGTAAGTTTCTCTATTAGCACCAATTTTAACTTTATTTATACCATACGGAATTACCACCTTTTTCTTAGCTGATGCATGAAATTCTTTCGCACCAGATATCATCTTTATTTTCAAGATATTTTTATTAGTAATACCAGAACCTGGCATCACGATTATTTTGTTTTGAGCTTCTTGAACGAGCTTTTTTATCAATTCTAATCCTTCTTCTGCGGTATCTTTTTGTCCAGAAGTTAGAATTCTCTCGAATTTCAAATTTATTAATATTTTCAAAGATTTTAAGGGATCGTTGACTTCGTCGAAAGCCCGATGGAAGGTTACTGGTAATGATTGAGCAGCGTAAAGAATATCTTTGCAAGATTCCACGTCGATTTCATTATCTGACGTTAATGCGCCAAAAACGAAACCATTAGCACCGTAATTTTTTAATATTTTTAAATCCTGTAACATGACTTCCATTTCTTCTTTCGTGTATACGAAATTTCCGGAACGTATTCGAAGCATAGCATAAATTGGAATAGATGAAAAACTCTTAATTTTTTGTAAAAAGCTAGGAGTAGGTGTTAAACCACCCTCGGAAAGGGCAGAACAAATTTCGAGTCTCGTTGCACCACCTTCGATTGCATTTTTCGCTGATTCTAAAGAATCTATGCAAATTTCCATCTGAAATATTGAATGTATTGCACAAGAATTTATAGAAAGTGGTTTAAATAATGATAATTGAATGCTTACTGTCTGTTGAAAAGTGTTGCCAATTTCTCAGAAAATATAATAAAGTCACTAGCTGCTTATGTCTAGGGATAAGTGAAGACGTAATGTTATCACAATGTGATGAATATTTTGTTTCGAAAATGTCACTTTATTATTTATCACTACAGTTAACATTGAAGTTAGAACAGATTTTATGATTGTGATCAATATTTATTGAATCGAAATAAATGAAAAGGAACACAATAAATGTAAATAAGAAATGCACATGGAGAACAGTGATGTGTTAATACGATTACTCTGCCATCTGCAGAAATATACTGAACTATTTGTCAAATTTATAGAAGATAAACAAGATATCTTATCTCAATGTATAAAGTATATTTATTTATAGAATAATTTAATTAATAAAAAGATGATTAAACGGAACTATATTGGAAGGTATAAATTTGATAATTACATATTTGATTATTAAAATAGCACACTGTTTTAAAATCAATGACTAAAGCAATCAATATTATTATTAAAATTAACACAATTATTGCTTTAGATATATTTGTACAATAAAATGTTATTAATATTTCTAATTCAGTATTTTTCTTATATGATTAATTATTTTAGTAGCAATTTATTAATTTATAACAAAAATCCTTTGTACAATAGATATACCTAACCTAGTTAATTATTTGCACAAAGAAAGTCAAGCACATGAGATTTTTTTTAAACAAGTAGTTAAAATATCTGATTACTACTGATCTTTTAAGGATCTTCAGTTTTAAATCTCAGGAAAGGATTTCTCGACTTTACATTTGGTATGTTATTTTTAAAATTACTCAAAAGTTAATATTCTTTATTTCTTTTCAATAATTTGCATCTTTTATATCGATGCTGTTTAATTTAAACATATATATTTTCATGAGTTTGCTTATTTCTTTTCAGAAAAAAGAAATTGTTAACTAACAATTCCAATAGTCTGTTTAAAAAGAGGTAAATGAATGGATGACACAATATGTATTATAAAGCGCAATGAAATTCTGTATTATACAACATATATAATAAAATAATACCAAAAGTTATAGAAGTAAAAAATAATAATATTAATATTAATAATAATAATAATAATAATAATAATAATAATAATATTAATATTAATAATAATAAATGTAACAAATATTTAAGCGGAATTTATAATAGGGCATTGGCAATAGGGATCTAGAAGTCTAAAAAATAAAATACTTAAAATGACAGAGCAAGGAATAGGGAGGACGTGGAACGTCTTAAAATCCTCGTCGCGATTCTTGTCGATTAAAATATCATAATCAACGCACGATCAGTCGCATAAGTCGAGAGGAGGCTAAAACGATTTATCGATCGATTCGCAAATGGCCTGGCAATCATCTTTGGAAAATTGAAAATATCCAATGGATTTTTCTATGCCTGACCAATTCTGGCTTTATTCGACATTACAGCCTTCCAAGGCTTTTACGTTTCATTCTTTCTTTTTCCTTTCTTCTTCTTCGCCTAATTACAACTCGCAAAATCAGAGATCGCCATTCGATACTGCGATCGGCGATGGACTCGTCGGATTGCTCGAGCTGGTCGTCCATTTATTCTTGTGTGGATCCACGCCGAAACCTTCATCGTAATTACCTCGTGTGATGAACAGTTGTTTGAAATGTGGGATGCAGTAGAGTTTACCATTATTTAAGGTGAACGTGTCCATCCTGTTTGGAAAAAAAAAAAACCATCGTTTATTTGATTGTTCTATTTATAGATTTTGTATCGGTTGGTGCTGCAGGAAAAGAAAAGAAAAGAGAAAAAAGAGGGGGAATATGGTCTGTTACGAGGAAGAAGAAGAAGAAAAAAAACAGAGAGATAAAGTCTCAGGGAAGATTGTAACGTTACCTTAACACGCAATTGCACTGCAGACACCGGAAGCACTGTTTGTGAAATATTTTGTTATTTGTCTCCACCTTTTCTAGGGGGTACACTTTCTTTTCGCAGCTCTCGCACACGTCCGCGCAGCTCGCCTGAATCTCCTGCGTCGATTTTAGATTGGAAGAAAGCAAAATAAGTGAAATAAAAAAGTGCTGGATGAAAAAAAAGTGATGGGTCGATAAGGAGAAGAGATGAATGTGCGTGTGATTATTATTATTATTATTTTTCTTTTTTTTTCCTTTTCTTTTCTTTTTTTTTTTTTTAGAAAAAAATCTTTGAAAGAATTCCAAAGGCCAATTCTCTCTGTTGATGAGATGAAACTGAAAGAACTAATATTGGGGATAATATTGCACTGCTTCTTCTCGTATCTTTCGCATTTCCAATTATTCTACCACACAATTCACACCATTCATATATTTTCGTCAGGATGTGCCCTTTTATTTATCGTTTTTAATATGGTCGTAATAAATTGTTACACGTGAAAGGTAAACGGTAAATAACAAGTCATATCATACGTCGCTAAAAATTATACAATCCAAGACGCAACGAAAGTCTACGTGAAAAGTAATCGCAATAGTAGGCCGTGAAATCAAGCGATCGATCGATCAACTAAATTACTCGCATACATAAACATTTAACTCTCGCCGAATTAATAACAAACACGCGAATATGTCTCGTATATGTATGTATGTACGTTTACATTGTCTCGACAACCTTTAAAAAATTATTGCACTGAAAAAATTCCATCGTCGAGAAGTAAGTGTTTCTTGATCGATTTCATCAACGAAGGAAAAGAGATACCAAGTCGTGTAGAGAATTTAGGTGTGTGTGTATATATACATATATACACATATACACACACACACACCTTTTCTATTTCGTTCTCTCTATAATTTTTGATTAAAAAAGTCACTAATGCCTCTAAAAATCTTGCACCTTCGTAAAACTTGTCGATTCTCGATACAGAAAAGAAGAGAATCCTGAAATTGTAATTCGATTCGACGTTTTATCAATTCGCCAATTCTTTCCCTCTCATTCCCTTTTCTTCCTTTTCGTTCTCTAGTCGCAATTCCTATGGCGTCTCTAGACATACATATATATATATATATATATAAAGAAAGAATGAAAAAAATTTGTCTCGACATCTTCCTTCCATTATCGATTCAAATTCATTTTCATTCGTTTCATTCAGAACGAACAAAATAATCCAACAATCAAACGCGATCGAAATCGATTTCAGGATTCTCTTTCTCCTTCCTTTCTCCTTCGGGTGCGCTCATCTAAATAGATCAAAAAGGGATTCGATATACGTCGTTCTTCTATGATAAACATATAATAATATTATATTATATTCATATGTATACGTATATGGATGCGTACTGTGCATCCGCGTTTGGCAATGACGAAAGAATTAAATATATCCGCCCTCTCTTCTTTTCTTCCTCTTCGAATGCCATTGCGGGGAAGCCTAACCCTTTAACGAGGCTACGATTCCCTCGTGTATCATCCGCTCATCGAACATTATACAAAAAATTATATAAAATAAATGATAACGTTCGTTCGAGACTCGATATTTATTCCCTAGGTAGGTAAGGAACGATGGTTTTTTCGTGCGTTCAATTCACCGATCCGATTATACGCGACAAGGAGGAGCTCGATAAATGACAATGAATCTCCCTTCGATTCCCTTATATCGCTCTGGATTATCTCGTTTTTCTGAATCTTCTTCGCCGACTTCTTCGAACTTTTATTATCAGTATTAGTGTGCGAACCCTTTAAGAGCGTTCGATCATCAAACGATTGATCGTACTAAACGTTTTATCGTATAAACTTGTATAAATGTATATATAATATGTAGATCTATCTCTTTGTAAAAAATGGTATTGCGATTTCTTCTTTTTTTTTTTTTTTTCTTTCTTTTTTTTTGGAACGTGTCGACGAGAAAATTCATTCCAGGCAACGATAATCGATTGTTTTCTTTTTTTTTTTTTTTCTTTTTGCTCGCCTTCTCCTTCTCTAATCGTCTCTAACGGATAGACAATCTAGATCTATCGTCCGACATGCTGTAAAAAAGACTCGAAATCGTGTAAAGCGTTCGAAAAAGCTCGTAAAAGATCCTAAGTACGTCTATAGCTTGGACCTTGATTATCGCAAAACTGTGACGCGATCTTAATCAACTCTTTTCATCTCGAAAAACGATATATACGCCTCATACCACTACTACTTACAGTACAATTCTCTTTTCTAAGCTTTTCGTCTGTCTTTCTTCTCGACTTTTCGCCTTCGAGCTTGGCACTCGGAAAAAAGAAGAAAAAGAGAATCGAATTTGTTCGAAGAGACGATCTGGTCTCATCCACGCAACGATAGTAGATTCGATCGATAGTTATTCAACTCAATTTGGCACCCTATCGCAAAGTAATTTTCACAATGGTACAAATTATTTGTGTGTGTATGTGTACATCGACGCGCGTAACAAACGTGACGTATCTCCAATCTCCATTTGGCACGCGATAAAATATATCCATCTCCAAATATCTACTTGCTGCTGCGTCCTCAAGAGGCTCGGTCCATCTCGTGTTTCCACGATTCGAACGTATAATAATATCGCATTGAAAGGTATTAAAAATGTGTATACAAATTTTTCGACTCGAAAAAAATTCGGCGGCCAACAACACTAAGCGGGAGGGGATGATGATTTATCGATTTAGCGAGAGCGTTGAAACGATCGTCGATTCATCGTCGATACGTCGAGCGCTCGATTAAATTGCGAGAGTGTAGATAGAGAGAGTGGCAGGGACAGGCGATGCTTAAAGTATTGCAACGAGTTTCAATTCCATCGATTGATCCGCTTAATTTGCTCGGATTGAGCCTACCGTGGTTTTCGGATGCACATAGTGCTCGACGTATCTCGTTATCTCTCGTTCGTCGACCCTCGCGTTCGGTGTACGGTACAATATCATACAATCTACGCTAGTTTCACTAAAAAAGAAACGCTTTTGTTAGAAAAAGACTTCTAAAAAAAACGTAAAAACCGCACAATGATCCCGGACAACGAAGCCGCCGGTTGTTGCTCCTCTCCAAGCGCAAGTCTCCAACGAATATAATTGTATATACTCGTATATTCTTCGTTGCATGTATGTATGTGTGTGTATGCGTGTATTTGTGTTTGTGTTCATGTGTGTGTGCGCATTTGTGCTCGTTCGCTCGTTATCCTCTAACGTTCTATTCGCTCCTCTTCGTCAGGCCCTCCTCGGTCCGTCTTCTTGGGCCTCTCGTCGATCCTCCACTTCCGGTGCCCCCTTACTGCTCGCGTTCAACAGAGAATAGTTCAATCGCTAGATCACTGAGGATTGGAGGAAAAGCTGGGCCAACAGAGATTTTTGCAGGCGGCAATCTCAAGATCAAGAGAGAGAAAAAAAAAAAAAAGTACACGGCACACGTGTTCACATGTCATCACGCTAACTAGTCATGCTGTGTGGAGTTTGTTTAGTGTGGTTACCATTACTTTGAAAGATTACATTGGTTATCTGGTGATATTTTCGACTGGTGTATCGAGGTCCAATTTTTCTTTGTTTCCTCTTTTAAGTACAGTGAATTTTTAAGTCAGTGGTTTCCGCGTTAGTACAGCTACTGATAAACGTAAACTGAAAATTTTTCGTGGCTTATCGTGCGTTCAAAGAATCAAATCGAGCATCTTGGAAGAATATATATATATTCAGGGAAGAAAAGCAATCTCTATATTTGTTCGTTATACGAATATAAAAAGATTCGTTGAACGTACGTGTTGTTACATTACATAACGATATTCATTACAAAGATATTCGTCGTGTGAGACAAAAACAAAATTAAAATGTCGCAGCAACTAAACATAAAAAAAAAAAAAAGAGAATAATCGCAGAACAGGTAAATCGTGCTTTGAATCAAAGGGGGGGGGGGGGGAAGCACACACTTTTACGCATACATTTGTAAGGAAAAAAAAAAGAAAAATATTATCTATACAAAATTGGGCAGCAGGTTAAACAACGATTATCAAGACACACCATGCTTCACACCAAAAAAAAAAAAAAAAAAAAAAGAATAAATATATGAATAAATCACAACAAGATTACGCAGAGAAGAGATGAACGAATAAATAAATAAATAAATAAATAAATAAATAAATAAAAGTCGTATGCAGTGCGATTGGTTCAATCAAATCGTTTTCGACACCCAGAAGAGTGAATTGCAAGAAAGGGAAAAAATGATTGCAGAGCTCTCGGCGTCGGATCAATGAGCCGCTGGTGGAAGGAATGAATGGGGTGGTGAACGAAGAGTGGTTCCTACGAAAGAGTACTACTCACCACGAATCGATTGACTTTGACCTTAGGTGTGCGCGGCGATTCGTTCGTTTGCGAGCCGAGGGACTCGAAACGGGCTCTCAGACTGCTCGCAGACTCTATGCTCAGCTGTTCCCCGGACGAATTTTGAGCGATTTCCATCTCGGCGATGTGCTGATTGCTCGTCGTCGTTTTCCCATCCGTCTCCTCCCAGTGTTCGAATTTCGCGCACAAGGTTTTTGCGCGGGCCGCGTTCTGCGCTTGCTTCAAAAACTCGTCCTCAACCTGAAATACACGTTTCGATAATTTCCACGGGCTTCCATTTACGGAATTGGGCGTTCGTTTCTTGCGTTCATTGGGATTCGTTCGTTTCGAGACGTTAAGTGCAATCATTTTGCAACATCAGCAGACTCCGAAAGGAGTCAGGATGGACAAACCGAAAATCATTTCCAAGGAGATTATTATAAATTATTCCGTCTAAAACCTATGACTTCACTCTTTCGAAAAGAAAAAAAAAAAAAAAAAAGAGAAGAAAAAGAAAAAGGAAAAATCTACAACAGAAAAGAAGAGAAACAGAAAGAAAGATATTTAAGATAATAATATATTCTCCCGATGGATTTTATGGATATTCCTATTGTAATTTCACATTGTCCTAGGCATGTTGCGCAGCGACAGGTGTCGTATCATCTGCATATCCGTGTCTCCATCGGCTCACTTGAGCAATCTTCCCGGCAATTTTCATTGTGCATATTCATAACGGCAGGAGGAATCTCGAGGATGCCTTCACTCGATGTTAATAAACGGCACCATTTATTGCGATGGAGAACAATGAAGACGCGTCGCGAGCGTGTATATGCGTGTCTCTGTGTGTGTGTATGCGCGCGCGCGTACTCACCTTATCGGAAGCTCGCACGTAGTTAGGATCCCTTTCCTCGCCGCTGTCCTCGCCTTCCGACTCCTCGCCGTCCTCGTCCTCGTCCTCCTCGGAGTCCGACGCGGTCGCCTTCGCGTATTTGTCCTCCGGGGGCGGCGTGAAGCGTTTCAAAGGTTTCGGCCCGTTCGGCAATTCCTTCTTGCACGCGTTCTCCTCCATTTGCCGGAAGATCGAGAGCATCTTTCTCGCTGTGTCCGTGTGCACCACCTCGTTCACCCTGTCGTCGGCTCTCACCACGTCTGGATCGCGGTATATCTCGCGCTCAGGGGAGTCCATCTGTCGAGAAAGCAACTTGGATCAAATCTCCTTCTCCTTCTTCTTCTTCTTCTTCTTATCTCTTTCTTAGAACGCGTCGTTCTAATTCTTCAAGCTTTTAAAATCGGAGGAAAAGAAGCTTCCGTCTGTGTCGTCATCGAACGTTCGAACACGCTTGAACACGGGGATTGTGGACAGGAAATCGGATGAAAAAGGGGGACGTTGTTTTCCGCGAACCGAGTTCTGAGTCAGCTCGAACGCGCGGTGTTTTGCGAGCGGCGAAGACGCGATGACAATGCAGAATCGCCCGTTCCTCTACGCGCCTCTCCACCAGATATTACCCGGGGCGAGGCGCGTCCCACCGGGCGGAGAGTGGAACGGGAGAGAAGGGAAGCAGAGAGAGAGAGAGAGAGAGGAAAACTACGTGTATCTACGTGAACGGCTGTTACACTCCGGTCGAAAACAAACGCGGTTTCGAGGGATTTATAAGTTGGGAGAGAAAGCTAATTAGTTCGAGTTGCCCGCGAACAATCTTTATTAATCGCGTTTCCCCCGCCAACTTCGTTTTGAAAAAAAGAGACCGAGAGTGTTGGAGAAGGAGGCGATTCATCTCACCTTTCGTTCCGTTCGTTTATTATCGCGGCACGATATAACGACGAGGCAATTATTAAGGAAGAAATTTTTATCGGACACGGAGGAAGAATAAATACGAGGTTAAATCTTTTTTTTTTAAAAACAGTCTAATTTTAAGATTCTTTTTGGAGGTCGAGATGGAAGCGATTCGTCGAAGAAAGAAAGAAAGAAAGAAAGAAAGAAAGAAAGAAAGAAAGAAGGAAGGAAAGAAGGTTTTTCTTTCGGAATCGATCGATCAGTTCTCGTCGAAAAGAAAGCGTTATACATATGCGTTTGCACGTACTGTCGAACTGTATCGACATACTTGTACCGTTACTTTGAAGAAGCGGTTACGAGAAAGCGGCCAATTTTCTACACCGATTACTATACTTTTTTTTTTTTTTTCGATATTCCACGCTATCGGTCACAGAACACTGCCAATGCGATGTTACTACCTTACCTTAAATCATAGACTCGCGACCCGACTTTTCATTCCATGATTTTTCGAGGAAAAGAACGTTTCGAATCGTAAACTTGGTCTCACTTCTCTCTTTTAATCGTCGATCGAAATGGGAAAGAGGATTTCTTGGATATCTATTAGCGACGAGATAGTGAATCACGCACGTACACGGGTCTTCCTGTTCTTCACTTTCTTACGACGGCCTTGGACCTCGACGAGGAGCACACAACGTTGGACGTGTAAAAAGCGAGTTCAACAGAGGCGGATCAGCGAGCGTTGCGTTCGACCTACCGCGATCCGGACGAGAATAATTTCAACGGTTCGTCGTACATAACGCGATTATCCTACTCACTTTTTCGATCTTCGTTGGCCTTGGATCGCAGGACGATGGTTGGAAAAACGTAGGCGAGAAGAGGCGTAACGCAAGTTTCCTTGGGAGCAAAGGATAGAGAGAACGAAAACGAAAAAGAAAAAGACGAGGAAAAAGTAGAAGAAGAAGAAGAAGAAGAAGAGGAAAAAAAAGAAAAAGAAAAAAAATGGGAAATCGAGCGATGAGGCGAGGAAAGAGAGAGAGAAAAGGAGGGAAAAAAGAGAAAGAGAGAGAGAGAGACGCGCACGAGGGAGCCTTTTGTTTCGTTGGCCCCGGCAAACACCGAACTGGCAGCGGCGTGTCGGCGGTTGCTATGCCGTTCACACGAGGAGGACGCACGGCTCTTACTGTGTTCCCCCTTCGTGAGTTACTGGGAGGGCCACACGGTGGTGTGTGCTCGCCTCTGCACCGTCCTCTCTTCTCCTCTCTTCACGAATGGAAGGATGTAGGAATACTAACGGTAAAAGTATGGCTGCTGACCACTCGAGGGGGTTCAAGGACAGCGGTTGAATCGAGTGCCGCGGCGGCTCTTCGCGGCCTACGATCGACCAGCTTTCACGACGGGCCTTCCTTCGCCGTGCTCCCTTTTATCCGATCGTTAATCCTCTCGACCAACGATCGATAACTATCGCAACTATGGACGAGGATCGAGGAAAGAATCGAGTATTTCTTTCTCTCTGGAATTGCGTGGGCGGAGTTTCGGATAATTCTTATCTTTCTTTCTTTTTTTTTTTTTTTTCAATACGGATGATTCATATATTCGGAGCGAATTCGACGAGTTCGAATTCGGGGGAAAATCTGGTTGATCGAATCGTTCGATAAATCGGTTCGTGCAAGAGGAATTTTGTGCGATGCGGGAAGATATCCATGCTGTTACACGAGCAAAAAAACTGTTACGTCTGCTACGTAAGGGGAAATTAGTCTGTGAATAAAAGAAGGAAAAAAAAAAAAAAACCACCACGCTTTAGTTAGAAAAATTATTAATTAACGGGGGATGAATTTCAATCAAAGGACGTCAATCGACAAAAATGCGCACTCGGGAAAAATCCTCGAACCTTGACTTGACCGTCGCGCGGAGGGGTAATTCGGAACTGCTTCCGCTGTTTCTCCGGCTCCTTGTACGACTCGAAAAATTTGAACTTATTCGAAATGTCCGAGGTCTCGACCTGAACCTCCTCGGTGGTGTCCGAGCTTCGCACCACGTCATCTGAGACTTGCCGTCCCATGAATGCCTTCGTTCCACACGAATTTCAAACGATTAATTTAATAATCGGTCACGAAGTTCAAAATTCGCGCGTCTCTCGATTCGATTAACCCTCAATGGACGACTCAACATTTTTTAAACCTCTGCAAAGGTTAATTTATGCGTGCCCCACCAAAGATTAATCGAAACGTTCTCATAACTAATAATATCCACTAATAATATTTAACGTCCCGCAAAGGTTAATCGTCAAACCTTATTCTCTCAAAAGCGCGAAGATCTGAAACCCTTCAAGACGTGTTTTTTAAACCAAAGCTTCAAATATTATAATAATTATCCCATAAGAGAAAAAGAAAGGAATTAATCGAACCACGCGCGAAAAGGTAGACGAAAAGATTAAAAAAAAAAAAAGAGGAAACTTACGTCTCTGGCGCGTCGCGATTGTTCGGCCGGTGTCTTCGGGTTCACAGGGGTGACCGGTCTTCCAGTTTTGGCTGCGGTCGCGTCCAGTTCCAGGAAGAGCGACCGAGACTTCCTGCTGATCCCTGCGCACGACAATGATCGGATCGATCCATTTATCCCGTATATTTTCGAAAGTATCGGTCGGAGCTAACAAGAGCAAATACAACGGGGCGAAGGAGGGGGGCCGGCCTAGAGCCGGCTTCACTCCACTTATAACCTACGGCTACAACATCTATCTTAAGAGCCGCCACTCTCTGAGTAACCACGATCACTGGTTGGCTCACATGGTAGCAAATTGAGCGGCGGCCGCTGCCAGTTTTCGACCAACGATCCAACGCGGCTAATTACATTTAACGGGTTCTAAATATATATGTATATATATATATATATATATGTATGTATGTATGTATGTATGTATGTATATATGTATACGTGTATGCGTATACGTTGCTCGTAACCGGGATGTAAAATGCACCTGCTGCGATCACTTCCTCGTCAGCCTTCTCCGGTTTCGGTTTGCTGTCGGTCTCGTCGTCGGACGCGGCTATGGGCTCGCCACGTTCGAATCTCTCTTTGATGGAACGAGCGTGGGTCGAGTGTTGGATCTCCTCCGCCGCATTGATCTTCGTCACGCGCTCGCTTCCGGCTACCGCTTGCTGATACATCTCCTTCATTTTACCCTGTTTGCCCTGCAACCGAGATAGAGAGAGATAGAGGAAAAGAGAGATCTACGCTCCAGCCTTAGCTCCGTTTCAGTTATAGTTATAGAAGCGAAAACGCTTCTTTGATCTTCGATTCGAAAGAGAGAGAGAGAGAGAGAGAGAGGGGGGATCCGTCCATCCTCGTTCGAGGATGATGCGATAAGTCCGTAGAGTAGAGTAGGAAAGTATTGGGTCGTAATAATAATAATAATAATAATAATAATAATAATAATAATAATAATAATGTTGGCCGTTCTCTGATTACAAAAGATCGCTTTATTATCCGCCAATTTTTATTATTTCATTTATTACGCGCACCAGTGTAGGTTTTATCTTTCGATACTACGAGTGAAACGTATCTTTTGTGGAAGGAAAAAAAAAAAAAAAAAAATGCGTTGTTCTTTTAAATGTTGTTGTTCGGTATAAGAAGATGATATACGCGGTATCGATCAGTTTTCTTATTTATCTCGTTACGAAAGAATAGTTTTTTTTTTTTTTTTTTATATTGAATAACTTCCAACATCTTTCGAACTAGAAATTTCTCTTTTCGTTTCCTCGCGTAACATTTTTAAACAACTTTTCCTTTAAACACACTTTAAAAACACAGATTCGCGATTAATAATAAAAGGTATCGTGATTAGAAAGACGTCATTGCGAGAAAAAAAAAGTGAATTTTAAGTAAACTTATCGGACAGATTAATATTTTTTTTGGATCGATCCATCAGACGGAAAAATACTTCGTACTTTTTTCTTCTTAAAATAACGGATCCACAAAGGTTCACCGATCGAATCGATCGCATCGTGCTCCATCCTCCGCGCAATAATCGCGTCCGCCGCCTCGTTAAACTGCGTTCTGAGGAGAGAACGCGCTACATTTTCCTTCGCTCCAACTTTTTTCCGCGTCTGACGAGCGTGCAACGCGAGCTCGATGCCATTACCCCGGACCTACTTCGCCAACGATTTAGAAACGTTCGATCCTTCCTCGAGAAAAAGAAAAAAAGAAGAAGAAGAAGAAGAAGAAAGAAAGAAAGAAAGAAAAACGCGGAAACGCGTGACGGTCCAACGAGCTCGAAAACGAGCGCGATATTACCATGAACAATCTCGAACGAATTCCAGCTATCTCCTCCTTCCTGGCCTCCCGTTGAACCTCCCGTCTCCCCTGCTGGCTGGTCGTCTCCCAACGATTCTTTATGTCGTCCATTTTCGTGAAGCTGATCGGTCGCTCGCGGGTCGCGCGTTTCGCCTTCACGATCTCGCTGTCCACCTCTGTAAAATGGAGAATAGATCGTAAACAAAGGATCAGATTTTATTTGTTACTTCGTATTTTGCGAATGGGATCACTCTTTGTTTACTTGTGCATAGTAGTTTTATAATGAAAATTGGAGTGGAAGGGAGTTCGAGTTTTAAATAGAAAAATTTGAAATTTTATTCGTTAATTAAGAAACGGGGCAATTTTCGTCTAACGGGAAGTTAAATCAAGTCGATATATGAGCGAGTTTGCATTCTTTCATCACGACTTTACATTTGCCGCGACAGATTTTTTTAATTTAATTTAATTTATATCAAACCTTGCGTATCAAAGATACTTAAGATAAAAGGATTCTAAAATTATTCTATTAGGAGAGTGTGACATTCTTGCGATTTTACGATCTTAATAAGATAATAAGAAGAATGGTAAATTATTCTACTAGGAAAATATAACATAGATTGAAAACAGAATCATTTATGACGAGTATTCGAATTGAAGAAATTGAAGAAAGAAACGTGATGATCCCGTAGCTTTTAAACCGTCCAATGTTCCATCGAGCACAAAGAGAAAGAGTTTGGTTGTGTGGAAACACGGACGAAAGGGGTACGTAAAAATACGTGGAAATCTCGATTCGAATTAAATGTCTGTCCTCACCCTCCGTCTCCTCCGCCTCTTCCTCCTCCTCGCTCTCGCTCGACTCTTCGTAAGGGATCCCATTCAACGACTCGTCCGCAACTCCGATATCCATGCCTTTCGCCTGGAATCTGGACAAAAAGATGTGCAAAGTAGTCGCAAACATTGGCTAGAATTTCTGATTGCTTGGCACACGGACAACGCCGGCGCATTATTCGTCCTCTGTTGCTCTCTCTCTCTCTCTCTCTCGCTCATCGACATGAGCGCGACGATGAGAAATCGCTGATCGGAATGGACACCGCGCGCGTTTGCAAATTCATCGTTGTTGTCAACGCCCTAGCTATTTTCTTAGCTTGCAAATTTTTCAACGGCCAACGACTCCATCGTTCCTCTCCTCGTCGTTTCGAATTACAATCCTTGGCTTCACCAATAACGTTACCTCGTTCTTAATTTGTGCCTTATCGCCTAAAAATCTATACGAATCGATTCGTTATTGTTCGTATTCGAACGATTTGAAAAATTGTTCACTTAATAACAAAATTGTCGAAATAAAGAAATCGAACGATTAAAGCTTTATTATTACGAGCCGTCTCCCCGTCGAATAACAATAACAACGGAGAACAGTGTGCATTCATCTCGATCGTGACGCGAATAGATTAATCAGCGTTCGAGGAAAAACGTGGACCGAGAGCGACGCAGCCACAGAGTCCTCGTTGTGTCCATCGTCGTGGAAACGAATCTGTGTCACGGCTGAGAACCTCGTCTCCTCGACCCACGTTCGTATATGGCCGTTGGAAACGAGAGAGAGAGAGAGAGAGAGAGAGAGGGAGGGCGAGGGAAGGAATCGGCCAAGCGTTCGGATACGTAAATCGAAACGATGGACGAGCTTACTTGGCGAGTTTGCTCAAGATACTTGGGGACCTCTTCACGGCGATCTGCGACGGCGACCTTTCGATCTCGTTAGTCTCGGCGCCGGCCTTCTCGAACACTTGGAACCGGGACTTCACGTTCAGGCTCGACAACTCCTCGAGGCCCAGGTCCGGTTTGTCTGAGGCTGCGAATGGATATTAAACAAAAGTTTAACGCTTCGTCGAACACGGGTGTCACGATTATATACGCGCTTAGATCGTAGATTCGATGGCACACCGGTCGCTTATATGTATATATATATGTATGATTTTTTAATGGGCCGATAGGCGACTCTGGTTGCTGCGATGAATGCGATCAGGAGTCTAGCCAAGCTGTGATAAAATCGTTCAGTATCGCTCTAAAGAGGTTTAACTGCTTCGAGTTAGTCGGTTTTTGGCTAAGGTGTTAATATTAATTCGTGGTATATATATATATTTTTCGATATTTCTCGATATATTCGCATATAAATTTTTGCGTTTGAATATAGATGTTGTCAAAAGATGTCACGAATATATTAACACCCTGTACAATAATGAATCGAACAATCTCGTGTCCGTGGTGTTGAAAAATCAACTTGTCCGACTAGTTAGTCTCTGCTAAATACCTTAACGTAATGATTACGCCACCGACGGACTCGAAATTGTCACGTGTGCGTCGTCATGCAACGATGATTCTGTCTCACACTACAGCGACGTTACAGCGTCTTACTTAATAATCGTAAAGATATTAAAATTAGACAAACAACCAAACAACCTTCTATGGAATGGAAAGATGAAAAGGAAAGAAAGAAAGGAAAAAAAAAAAGAAATAAATAAAATTAAAGAAGACGAGGGAACACATCGAGGGAAGATAACTATAACATAATGCGTGTGTCGTTGTTAAAAAACGATAATCAGCGGTATTAAAAAAGGTGCACTCTGCAAACGGTTAGGCAACTGTTAGAAATGTTTTTCGTCGTTTGGACGACCATTGGCCGCCGTATCGGTCACACTACCACCGTCAGAACTATTACCTCTGACCACATCGGGCGGCAACTCTTTCGGCTCGTTCTCCCGTATGATCAGCTCCGGCTTTCGAGGTCGCACTACGAAGTTCACAAGACATCCCTTTGTCGCATTAACCATCTCTTTGCATTTACGTGTAATTATATAGAGGGGAGGAAAGAACGGGAGAATAATAGACAGGTAGGGGAAGGGCGGTAATTTCAGTGAACCGAAAGGAGGGGGACCGTACGAACGATCGGCAGATTACGCAGATTATTTCATCCACAACTGCGTCCCCCTTTCCGAGAGTCTAACCTTCTTTTCGTCGATTCATTCGTGATACTTTGATATATATTAAAAAAAGAAAAAAGAAAATGAAATTCGATGCAAAAGTATTTTATAATTATATGATAACGCTTTACCAGATTCTTACTATACGATTCGTGTACTATTGAACGGGTTGAAAATTGGATAAAAGTTAAATCGAAATCTCTTCCATGTTTTTTTCCTTCGAATCTTTTAAAAGTTCACGATCGATGATGATATCGTGAAGAAGAAGGTGAATACGTATGACGGAAGAGAAAGAAAAGGCAGGGGATAAAGAAAACCGCGGAATCGGTGTTTGCGCAGCAGAGGCGGTGATATCAAAGCGACCAGAAAGATTCGCGGAGATTAGACGTAGGAGGTAAGGTCTATTTCGAGGCGAGTTCCGCCTACAGTTGCGAAGAATCGCGAGGAGAGTGTAAACCGTGGGGTGTGATCGACTTACCAGGCTGGTCGGACTCCTCAACCGGTTTCGGTTGGAAGAGTTCCTTGAAGTGTGGCTTACAGTAAAGCGTGCTCTCGTGGCTCTCGTAATTGTCCACGTTAAGCTGCTTGCTACACTGGACGCACCGGAAGCAATTCTTGTGCCAGACCAGACCCTCGGCCTTTGTCTGTTCCATTTGGAAGACGACCTTGCCACAGCTGCGGCAGTTCGGGTTCGTGTCGCCGTTCTGACCCACCTGCCGTCAAATCCCATTATTGCTCCACCGATTTACTCCTTTTTATCTCCCCCCCCCCTCCCCTTTTAACGTTCCTTTGCTCTTTTCTTTTTTCCCCCAATTACTCTTCGAGAGTGTAATTCGAATATCGTTCGAAGTAACAAGAGTTTTTTTTTCCCAATTCCCCATTGGATTTCATACATTTGAATTTTCCTTATTGAGAATTTTACTTGCGAGGAAGACTTTGAAGAGAATATCGATAATTCTTTTTTTTTTTTTTTTTTTTTTTAATTTCAAAGGTCAATCCTTCAGCCGGGTTCGTTTCTTCTCGAACGAGCAAGCGCCTTTGTCGTTTCCTTCTCGTTTATGAGATACGGAGAACCGGACGATCGATTCCGCGCGAACAACTCGAAACAGAAAGGCTATTTACGCGTTCTCCGCGGCTGAAGGGTTAAGTTACGTCGATCTTAAAGTATCTCGAAGAGAAAGAGGGAATATATATATATATATATATATATGTGTAAAGAGAGAGAAAGAGAAAGCTTACGGCGTTCAGCTGCTGTTGCACTTTGCCAGCATCGATCGAGCGCACATGCAGCACCGTCTTCTTGCTGAGGGCGTCGAATTTATTGAAGCTCGACTTCTGTAAACACAAACAGTGCACGCGTCAAACGAGAAGTGCTCGAAAGCTTCGCTCCTCTTCTTGTCGTCGTGGGGTGAAAACCTCGTATGATCTCGTGGTGTATTACGGCACGTGTTTCATTCTAGCCTGAAGCTTGTTCAGCGTGAGCGTAACGAAAGCGTGTTCTTCGCGAAAAATGTATGTACCGTTCCCCATTATCTCTCTTACTCTTTGCTCCGTAGAAAAAAAAAAAAAAAAAAAGAAAAAAATAAAATTTCGAAATTGAAAAACCCACGGTGAACATTTTTGCCACACAGTGATACGAGGACACGTTCAAGACTCGTGCACACTCTTTTAAAAATTCTTTTACCAAACAGCGGATAAAATGCAACTTGAAAAATATCGATATATTTCGAAAAGCGAAACATCGGGTCCGGTGGTATATCACAAGCGATATATTCGAAGCTTGCTTCGAGCAAGGAGTACAGTTTGGAGTACAAGAAAGAAAGAAAGAAAAAAAAAAAAAGAAAAAAAAAAAAAAAGGTTCGAGCAAATCTGAAAAGGGAATCTCGTTCCACGAATCAGCAGCGATCGATCGAGCAGAGTCGAAGGAAGGAAAAAGCGAATCCTGTTTTATCGAGCGATCGGATGGAACAAGCGGATGCAGGAGAGGAGAAGCATAAGGCGAGAGAATCTATGATACGACGAGTAGGAGGAGAGTATCCCAAGTGCGGGTACAAGATAATAGAAGCTTGGTGCGAACCCGACCGCATATCGTTATCTCTGTTCTTACCTCGAGCCTAGGTCGATCCCTGTCCTTATTACCCTCGCTCGTTAAGTTTGCCAAACTACAGTAGGAAGCCCTCTGTCCCGAGGCCGTGGTTTCGCAAGGTTTTCGATTAAGGTTTTCATGCATTCCGGGGTAGGCATCGAACAAAAAAGAAAGAAACAGCACGGGCTGCGGGTTAGTGTCGTGTGATAAATATTCGAAGCGATACGCCTTCGTTCTCTCACACTTTCGACGGATTCAGCGGTTGGCGTTGTTTTGAGAGGAGCGATTTAAAAAAAAAAAAGGAAAAGATAAAGGGAAACGTTTGTTTCGACTATTCGGTAAAAATTCATTCAAAATTGTATTTATTCGGATTTATTTGTTTTTTTTTTAAACTCACGACTCGAGAGGAAAATATATGAATAATCGATATTACGTGCTCAATTGCTGTCAACAACAGTTTACGATACGTTTCTTTTTTCGATCGCGAAAGAAAATAGGCGTTCAAACGTTCGAAACGTTTGTAAAATATTGAGAATTGTGATAAGAAGAGATCGACGACATCGATCCGCGTTTTAACGCGCACATTCTTCCGACTCTTCTCTCTCTCTCTCTCTCTCTCTCTCTCTCTCGGCTCGAAGAAAAAGCGTTGACCGAGGGAATTAGACCGACCCGGTTCACAGAGCAAATCGCGATGTTCCTTGCTTCTTCCAACTGAATTTCCACGGCGTGGAAGGGAATCGTTAACCGATAAGCAAACAGAGAGAGAGAGAGGAACATAGCGATGGTCAGGAGGAGGGAGAGAGAGGAGAGGTACCGTAAAAGGTTTGTCGGTCGCCAATCGATACAAAAATCTTCTGCCAACCGCTGCATCGCCGGAGAGAAAAAAAAAAAAGAAAAAGAAAAAGAAAAAAAAAGAAAAGAGGACGAAGAAAGAGAGAGATAGAGAGAAGAGGGGGCGAGCCACAAAGACAGCTGGAATTGTTTCTCAAGCTTCGAATAGCCTTTCCTTTTGGCACGGAACCCGCGTGGCCCCGGTGCTCTCTCTCTTCGACGCGACGCCGATACGCGCTCAAACCAGTCTTTCCATCCATTCTCGATCTATGCAAATTGAAATTTCGAAGTTCGCCGACCGATAAATAGTGTCTCTACACGCGAAGCGAATTACTTATGGAAAAAAAAGAGAAAGGGAGAGACAGAGAGAAAGAGAAGAAAAAGGTGTTAGAAATGGGAAAAGGGAAAAATCCGGTAGCCCGGTTGTGCCCCCGTTCGAAGATAAGGCGGCACGAATTTAAAGTTGTGACCGATTTCACTGCGCCGTGGCGAGGAATTATGTCACCCGTACTCGAAATCCGTAACCGGATAATCGATAAACGGCGGTTACACACGGCGAAAAACTCGCAAGGCCTCGATTCTCGGCCATCGTCGCGGCGCAAAGTGGGGCAAATGAGTAGTAGTAGGTTATTATCAAAGCCGGCCCTCCCTTAAATGGAGAGACAGCATTCGCGGCTCGACTGACTCGATGGCAAAACGCGTTGTATTCACCCATGACAACGCGTCGAATGCCGTCCTCGAATCGTTGCTCGCGTCCAAATTCGCGAGAGAATCCCCAATTTTCATCCGATTTGCAACAATTGCTTCGAAAAGTATTCTCAATAGGAGGGAGAATATTTATTCGCACGTTTTAATTTATGTAATAATTATACACAGCGAAACAGCTATGTTATCCACCCAATTGATTTGCAATTTTTCACGGAACGTCACCAATCATATTTTCGAAATCGACTACTATCGTATTTTATATCATTCTGTTTTTTTTTTTTTCGAGATCGACGAAGATATTCCAACTGTCTTCGATGTCGTCCAACAGGTTCACTGTGGTATAGGGTACTTACGAGGGCCTTGACCGACACCCCGGTGAAGACGAGAGCGTCTTTGGCGAACTTCGAGTAACCCTTCTCGCATACTCTCAGATCACCCAGCGACCTTGCTTTCTACGATCGTCAATGGGAGCGTCAATGGGAATTCAGATTAGCGGCAACAGATTTTGCGGAATCTCGCGATTAATAGCTTACGAGCTTTGCGAACTTTTTCGAAAATTGAACGAACGAGTTTCATCTCTTTTCCTCGACTCTGTTCCACAATGTTTTGCTGCAAAATTCATTGTAGCAAAGCGGAGAGTGGTTCAAACAATTTCGCAAAGCTCGTTATGATTAGTAATGCTGTTACGATAATTGGGGTAAATTATTTGTTTGCCGTCGTAGGTTAATCCTATTGCCACACATCGCGAAGCGAAATAACGGAAGTTCGAAGTAGCTCATGCAGTAATAACTGTTAATAGGGCTCTCATTCCTATGTCGATACCACGAAACATCGAGCAACATGCTCGCGATTCTAATTACGCTCGAGAAGTCGTCCATCTTTCGAACGATTCGATCGATTCAACTACTTTTTCGATCGATAAAGATAAAAAAAAAAAAAAATAAAATAGAAAATAAAAAAAGAAAACGACTGGAAGAAATATATATATATATTTTTTTTTTTACGAGAATTTATCGTCAAAATCGCGTTTGTCAATCGTTCTCGTCAACCCTCGACGAAAATATCGATCTTCTATATCACGAATCATCTTTTCAAATTATTTTATTTGGTTCAAGCTTCCCTCCTAATCATTCCATCAGAAGTGAACAAAGAGGGGGAAACGTGACGAGTGACATACGAATTTCTTTTCTTTTTTTCAGATAATTAAAAAATCCACTCGTCGAGGGTCGTTCGAGAGTTAAAAAGCTTCTCGAATGAAAAAAAAAAAAAAAAGAAACTAATAATTTCGCTCGAAATAAAAGAAAAATGAAAGAAAAAAGAAAAAAATAATAATCTTTGCGAAAAGGGAAGTGAGATGATGTAATGATACAATACCTCCTCGGTGTCCATCGTGTGATTCGTTTTCCCATATGCCGTCTGATCGCCGTCGCTCATGTTCGAGATGTCGCCAAAACTACGACACTGTTAGTGACAAAATACAACTGACAAAGTGTAATTGGACAGCCATTTAAGCGGTTTTTCAGAGCTCTCTCTCGTTACAAAAGATGACGAAAGAAAACAACAAGTAAATAAATTAAGTAAATTAATTTATAAACGATAAAAGATAAGATTAAATTGAAGGATTATTACGTACGAAAAATTATACGTTTTCTTTTTTTTTTTTAATTATAATAGCATTTTCTTCTTTATTCTCATTAATTACTTACCAACTGTTTGATCGACACGCCTGTCGCGATCTTTTCCTTCGTGCATCGATCTTGCTCGTTTCGCGTCGCCTCCGATACATAATTCTGAGTCTGCATGCACAAAATACAATGCACAGGGTACAATACAAAGCTAATCCACATGCGATTGTACGGTGATTCATAAATCTACTACCGGGCTATTTCAATCTGATTTTACTACTATTATCGTTGGATGGAAAATCGTATCACTCTCGTGAGCGAGTATTACGATCGATATGTACGCATGCATATACACATGGAGTGAGTAATTTTAAACGTGTGGTAAATTAAATAACACAGGGAATATTAATCAGCTACTTCACCGCCAATTCTTTTACGCGTCTTTGTCTCGAACACGTGGACTATCCAGAGTTGATCAACTTACGAGTTTATCGTCAAATTTACGCAAGATCGATCACGCGACTCTTAATAGAGCCGGTGAACAACACAATGGGATCGAGCAATGATTCACATTCTTCGTTATCCTCTTCTATTAATTATTCTTCCAATTAACGATCTAATTTTCTTACTCATAACCCGTGACTCAATTCGATACTTTTTTTCTTTTTTAATATTTATTCTAATCACGGATCAGATAGATATCGGACAAACATTTTTCCGTTTCGAAACTTTTTCGACCGAATTGCGTAAACTTTTACACTTGGTTATTTAAGAATACGAAAGGATCGGAAACGGTATCACGTTTACCGCTTTTTCTTTACCGCTCGAACGATCGAGCCGCGAAGACGAACGAAGAAAGAGGGAAAAGAGAAGAAAAGAAGAGAAAAAAAAAGAAAAGAAAAATGAAAATCGTCTGCACGCGAGTGTAGAATTCCTTGCTCGGTCGGTCGAGCGTGAACAGGAGAGGCCACGCGAGCCACGTGGCGAGCCTGCTCGACGTTACACTCGCGTGCCCCTTGCGACGAGGCAACCCGGCTGCGCAACCCGAAACCGATCGCTGGCCAATTCGAATATTATTCGCGCGCAAATATCTCGCACGTTTCCGGCCAGGGGGGAAACTTACCAGAGATTTCACGTTCACGTTCGACAGATCGTCCTCGTCCGAGAAATCAAGGGTTTCCGAGTTCATCTGCCGGGGACCAGGGTGCATGCTCGTCCCTTGCAAGTTAGAGTTCTGACAAACAGACAAACACGCGCACACTGTAGCATGCAACACCGCTTTATGCACACGGTTTCGTTTCGGTTATACACGTGGGATTAATTTCGGGCTATTTCCCTTCTCTCCCCTTTTGGGCATTTTATATTAGTATTACGTGTACCACTTTCTGTATTCCAATCAAGTTCAAATTATTCGTTTCACGCGATAATATGATATTAGAAATTAGATCTGGATGCTATTTGTTATTTGTCGATTCTTCGGAATTTTATTAGTTGGAAAATTATTCATACAAATTTAACAGATGCGAGGATTAGAGAGAGCAATTTCCCCTAGGAAAAATACCGTGACAAAGCGAGGTAAAAGCGAAACTTCGAGTATCTTGGCAAGTCTTTTCGAGAAGAGTTTTTCCTTTCGAGGGGGAAAACTTTTCGTTCGGCGAAGATTGTTCGAGGAGCCTCGTCCAAGACGACGTTTTTGGATCTTTTTCGATTCGGGGTGGAAAAGTTCCCCCCCGCTGGACGAACCGGAATCGGGGATTCGGATCGCGGAAACTCGTGGGAAAGAAAGAGTCTCGGCCTCTTCCCTCGGCCCCGACGAGCGAAATTCTCACGGGATGCCCGAAAAAAGAAGTTTCCTCCTTCTCTCGGAATCTCATTCTTCTCGCAAAGACGATAGAAATCGAGAGAATTGAAAACGACTCGGCGCGCAACAACGATTCGACAAACGTAAACGGAGCGTCAATTAAGGTGAAAAGCCTGGAAACTCGTATTGCTCGCATGCAAATAAGGATTAAACGGGGATTTCCGGTTTTCGCGACCGGGCCATCATCTAGGCCGAACGTGGTTCTTGTTTTGACACCGTTGTTATGAACGCGGTTCATAACGGTTCGCGTGTATTTATATCAAATCCATGTAGAGAATTCCTCGATTCCGGATTCGAACATCCGATTTTTTTCATTCTTCCCGTGGAAGAAGCGAATCCACTGTACAGGGTTATTGACACATCGATTGGAGGATCGAAATAAACACGAAAGCTGATACAAGTCGAATCGACAATCTTGCTCGAGATTTATTTATTTATCGAGTTACGAGCAATCTAAGTCCACTTTTATCTTATCTTATCTTCGTGCGTTTTTTTAATTTTAAAACGAAATTAAAAAATTGTATTGTAAGCATCTAGAATTAATTTATTTTTTTCTAACAAGGATGGATTATTTGCGATCGTCTCGATGACTTATAATCTTTTATCAAATTTCGTGCTTTTGGTCCCTGGAATCCAGAGCTTCCAAAGGAATATATCAACACCCTGTATATATATCTCACGAGAAACATAGGATGCTGTGAAAAATTAGGGGACACTATATGCACAATGTGTTTCACTTACCACAGAAATATTTTCCTTCTCGAGCTCGTTCTTCTTGCTCTTTTTGGTCTTCTTTGTGCGGGGAGTGAGATTGGGCGAGGCATCATTACCGGCGACGCCCTCGATCTTCTTCTTCTTCGTCTTGGTCCCACCCTTCGCGCTTTGCGAGGTCACAGTTGTCGCGCTCGTCGTTATTGTTTCCTCTCGGCTTTCGCTCTGTATTAACACAGGGGAACAGATTTTTATTCCTCGCTTGAAAACCTAGAGTGATGATCCCTTTTAAATTGGAGGATTTTAAATTGTTCGTAAAAATATTTACGGAATGGTAATTTTTAAGATATTTTCTTTTTTAAATTTTATAGAGAATCTTGATGTATATATATTTTTATATATATATATATATTTAATCCTTAATCACTGGATCGAGGAATCGAAGATGATGCGAAATTTGAAACTGAAATCATTTCGAAATAACCAAAGTACACAAGAGCAAAAATTTGGTATTGTAAATTATACAAACTCTCGACTCAAGGAAACCTTATGATAGAGTCAATTACGAAGAACTTTCAACGATAATTAAAGATTTAAAAATATTTATTTCGAACGATTTCCTTCATCCCGTATCGTAATAAATTTCGAACAAATACGCAATTAATATTGACTCACCCCACAATAAATCCTACATTTATCAACGCAACATCTTAATTGCTTTAAACGCGTGTCCTTTTGCGGACAAGAAACTCTGCGCAATCTGTAATCTCGGCTAAATAAGAGGATGTCGTTCGAAACATAGTTTCCCTAATGATATCCTCCGAGTTCCATCGGCCATCGAGAGCCGCATCCGGACAGAAGAGGGGGGAGGGGGAGGGGGGAGAGGTACTTCGAAAGTTGCGAAACGTCGAAAAGTTGCAGCGTCGTTAATAACGTTGATCTTTTCCTAATCGATCGAACGATAAAACGCTCTTTCGTCATCGTTTCTTTTCTTTTTCGAAAGTTTCAAAATCTAATCATCACGAACGAAAAAAAGAAAAAAAAAATAATAATTTTCGATATCATCGAGACGCGAGCAAATATTTCTCACTATTTTTTCTCACGAAGAAAAATGCGACACGTTGTAATTTATCTCGTATCCCGAAAAAAAAAAAAATTGTTAATCCTCTTTTGAAAGTGGATCGACTTACACGTTTGCAAGTGTAACGGAACGCACATTCGTGGAAACCGCTTTCGTTCGATTCCAGATATATGATTGAGGTTGATGATCGCGAGATTTTTCTTGATATTCGTGATATTCACATTATTATTATTATTATTATTACGAAGCGTGATCGAGAATTCTTCTTCTTTAGAAATTCTTCCTACATTGGATAAAACGTATCAATTAAAATCCAATTAAAATCCACGATCGTAAAACAATTTTTTTAAAAATCGATAAGATTGAAGGATATACTTATTATCTATCTTACTTCTATCTTTTCAATTCTTTCTTTTTTTTTTTTTTTTTTTTTTTATTATATTATCGTTACTCCGTTAAATGATCGAAAGAAACTCACTCAATCAATTGTGATGGTACGATTACGGATTAATTTAAGTCTCTCGAAGTTGTTGAAGCTATTGTTCGAGACAACATATCCGAGAAACGCATCGTGATCAATGGGCGAACTCGAGAGAGGAAGGGTGACTCCTCGATGCGCTAACAAGATATTAATGATCGGGTAGACACGAATCGCGATCTTGCCTTGGCTAACAAGCGGATCGCGTGAAACAGGTGCACGAACTCTGGCGAACAATGGCGAATACTGGCGCAACTAGTTCCTTCCAGGAATGTATCTAAAAAAATTCACTCGAAAGTACAATTCTTGCTCGCGATAAAATTCCAGAATTTTAATTATCTCTTACGCGATTGCCGCGAGTTCGTTTCTCGTTGTTACGTTATGTTACGTTGTATTACGGTTTTCTAGCTTCGAATACGAAATAATTGCTATGCATTCAGATAGAAATTTCAGATATTTGAAGAAATTTTACGGAAAATATTTTTCCAAGATATTCGAAATTTACGATTTTAATTTTTTGATCGATCGATGTGTGGTGGTGGCAGAGTATCGTGGCGATTGTTATATATAAAATATAGTTATTTTCTCGGAAGAATTCTACAAACGATCGAAAGATGGCAGTAAACGACACTTTTGAATAGAACGGTGATCTTCTCTCAAGATGATTTTTTTTTTTTTTTTTTTTCGTTATGCCCAATGAACTTTCGATGAGAATTTGACAGATTCTTTGACAGATCGAACCGTGCAATTTACGAAGGTTTTATTTTTTGAGGCTCTTAAAGATCTCGGTTTAATCGACACGACTCACGGTTCGGTAATTAAATCTCTGATAAATATTCATGGAAACGAGGGATGAGAACACAATCTCGTAGAAAATATTGGTAAATATCGCGGATAATTAACGAGATCTGTATGAAATCTCCTTCCACCATATGAATACAAATTTCGAGTTGAAAATTACACTTTGCAACGATAACTTTCGTTTCTTTCAATTTTCAAAATTTATATTTCATAAGTCACTAAAAACTTACATATTTTGAAAATCTGCCATCTTCCTCCGAATTTTTATTTATTAACCTCTGAAAGTCCAGTTTTAATTTCCAAAAGAATATATAAAGATCCAAGTTCCATCAAAGATTGAATTTCTTTCTCTTTTAAATCTTTAAATTTTACCTCTTGAAAAATTCCACCCGATCTCGATCTCGCGCACGATCGTCAATTACGACGAAAAATATCGGACAATTCCTTTACCTTAACCCTTAATGAAGAGATCCCTCGGCGAAATTAGTTACAACGATCGCGTTCCCCGGACGACGATAAGTTTATCGCGATCCTCTTATTACACGACGCTGATCGACGCTGCAATGCTTCGTTCCTTTACTCGACACACGTAATTACACGGCCACGTAACTCGCGGAACCCGATTCGAATCGCGAATTACGCGGCGTTCACGCCGAAACCAGACCCGGCCCACAAGTGTTTCGAAACGAAAGCCTTCCAGATCCGTGTTCTTGTCCGCCTAATTAATATCCTGCTCTCATCGAGATGGGTCTCGTGGGTACCGATTTTCTATGAAAAGTAATCATAGTGAACCTGGGAATCGGCTACTACTTTCCCAATTTTTCGTTAGAATTTTTTCTTTTTTGGATATGCTATTCCTTGCTCCTTTTCGATTTTTGCAAGAATTATTTTTATAATAATGAACGTCATTTCGAGGAGTGAAATCTTTAAAAGATTTGAACTTGGCAATGCTATCGAACAGAAGAAGATTATAAAATACTTAGAATTATTCTTTTTGGATATGGTATTTGTTCTTCCTTGATGATTCGAAGAATAATCTTTATAATAATCGGAAGGGAGTGAAATCTTTAAAAGATTTGAACGTAACTTGGCAATGATATCGGACAAAAGAAGATTCTAAGATACTTAGAATTTTTTTTTTGAATATACTATTTGAATATGATATTTGTTCTTCCTTATCGATGGTTTTCGAAGAATAATCTTTATAGTAATGTAACTATATGTTTGAACGTAACTAGGCAGAAAAAGATTATAATATATTTAGATTTTAATGCTAAAAAAGAAAAAAAAAATAATGAGATATCCCGTCGAAAAATAAATTGCCTTCTACGCCTCATTACGCTCCCCTCCCCCACACACGATACATCACTTTCACAACGTTGAAAAATCACGCGTCGATCGTCATCGCTCGTTTCGATCGTTCGCGCACCTTCTCGTTAGCGCGCGCACCAAGATTCGCGGGCAATTTTCGACAGGAAACGAATACGAATGCGTTCACACGTACCGTGGAAAATCGTGGCTTCCTTCACGCGAGCCGTTTTGAAACTGATCCTAATCTTCCTCACTTTCGCGCGATCACCGCCCAACCACACCTCTTTTACCTCTTCTTCCTCCTGTCGAGGATATCGAGGAGGATCGAGACCCCCTCGAGTTTTCCAGTTTCCACCGAAATCGATCGCTGTGGAACGAGCAACGAGGCTAACCACTCGGGACACGATTCCCAGCCGCGCGTCTCTACCTTAGTAACGAGGTCGACGAAAGAAAAGCTGACGGAAGAAGCGCAAGGGAACAACGGACAGGAGGGAAGGAGGGAGGGGCGCAAGGGAGCGGAAGAGTGGGGGAACGCGTTCCTAGGCCGCCCTGGGGCCCGCTTGCCTCGGACGGACGGCCTGATACGGATCAGAAAAACGTCTGCCAACGTATGCGAACGGGAAACGTCGAGGAAGAGCGTGGTTGGATCCGATAAAGCTAGTTACCCCGGAGGGGTAGAAATCATCGTAGGATGCAAATTAAACGACGGACGAGAGAGGAAAGGAGAAGAAGAAAAATTGGAAGGATTTGAACGATCGGTTGATTCATTCGTATCACAAGATTAATCTAATTTCGTGTACTAGTTTTAAATCTTTCCAAATCTTTCAATTATCTATTTCCTTCTTTGTAATTATTATACTTGCACACTCGTCTTTCAAAATATCTTTCATTCCGATTAAGAATACGAGTAATTCCAATTATTCAAAGAAACGAAAGAGACGAAAATTCTCATTGAACGATCTCCTACCTTACGGAAGATCATCGTCCTCGAGGTGTTTCACGAGATCCGCGAGTGGACGAGTGAACGTTTGGTGGTCTCGAACCAACTGGGGTCGAGCGGAGGAAATCGGTATCGTGGGGTATACACTTGGGTTGGGATTTCCGCGATTGGCCATTTCCACCGGACATGGGGAGGGGGGACGGGTGGCCAGGTGAAGCAGACAGAGGGGGAGGAAGGGAGGGTGTTCAGATGGCAGAACGAAAGGTAGCAGATCGATCGAGAGGATCGAGCCAGAGTCTCGGGATTGGTTGGCGCCTCTTCTCGGCATCGACCTCGATCTCGTGTTTTCAACGATGTAACGAGTTCGTTTTTTTCGTTTTTTTCTTCATCCTCGCTCGTTCCTTGACGCGCGCGTGTGGGAGTCGTTTTGCCATGGAGAGAACCGGTATCGGGAGTAGCCGGATAACTGGAAACTATAGCATCCGGGAAGTAAAACGCATATATCGGGATTATTTGTGAAAATTGTGTAAGTGTTTTGATCTCGCGAACGGGTCAAGGTCGGCGGAAAGTTTTCACTTGGAAAGTTCGAACGTCGAGAGGTTTAGATTTTTCTTTCCACCTCGAATCCTAAACTTCAATTTCGATCGTTTCGAATCGTGAAAATCATGGAAAAGTTCGAACGTCGAAGAAGTTTAGATTTTTCTTTCCATCTCGAAGAGCAACGAAAAAGCTTCGATTTCGATCGTTTCGAATCTTAGGAATCGCGAAAATCGTGGAAAAACGTTCAAACGTTGAAGCTTAGATTTTTTTTCCATCTCGAAGAGCAATGAAAAAACTTCGATTTCGACGCCTAGAAGAATCCTAAACTTCAATTTCGATCGTTTCGAATCGCGAAAATCGTGGAAAATCTTCGAGAAGCTTAGCTTAGATTTTTCTTTCCATCTCGAAGAGCAACAAAAAAGCTTCGATTTCGATCGTTTCGAATCTTAGGAATCGCGAAAATCGTGGAAAAGTTCAAACGTTGAAGCTTAGATTTTCTTTTCATTTTGAAGAACAATGAAAAAGCTTCGATTTCGACGCTTAGAAGAATCCTGAACTTCAATTTCGAAAATCGCGAAAATCGTGGAAAAGTTCGAATGTCGAAGCTTAGATTTTCTTTCCATCTCGAAGAGCAACGAAAAATCTTCTTCGATCGTTTCGAATCTTAGAAATCGCGAAAATCGTGGAAAAGCTTTGACACCTGGGAGACAAAGTCGAAGAACTCTGGCCCGGAAAGTTCAAGAAGGTTAAGGTTCTCCAATTTCAATTTGGAGAGAAAACTGTTGGGGAAAAGAACGCGGTCGGAATTAAAAAGTTCGTGACGAGTTGGATCTCGGTCAAGCTCGTTTCTAGCGGAATAGGTTACTACACGGCATGGGCGGTGGTCGTTGAACCGGCCGTCTGATAACTCGGTTTCGTAGCGTTGTCTTGATAAACGAGCGGATTGCTTCCGGTACGCGTTCATCTGTTCACGTGGGGCCCGTGAATTATCGTAGCCATTTCTATTCGTGTCGTCGGGCTACGATCGACTCGTTGTTCCTCATTTATTTAACACGCAACATTGTCTCCGCAACCTATGAACTCGATCAATCAGCTTTAAACGCGTCGATTCGAAAAACTTTCACTTTCTTCCTCGTGCTGATCTCGATACATCGTCGTTGAAACTAAAAAAAAAAAGCGTTCTTATCTTCCTTGGAAAATAAAAAATATATATACGAGAGGAGATTAATCTCCATTTTGGAGAATTATTCCATCATTTTCCCATTCACGAGTAACGTTACCTCGTTGATTCGATTCTTTCAATTTTCATCAACTCGAAATTTCAATCTCTCTCTCTCCCTCTCTCTCTCTCTCTCTCGTCGAATAACGTTACTTTATTCGGCAATTTTTCTCCCAATCAATCTAAACGAAAACCTAACAATTTACGCGACCCTAAATTTATTCAGAGATATTGCCCGCGATATCGCACCCCCGTTCTTCGTTGACCAACACGATCGCCGATACTTATCAACAACCTGATTTACACCGCGTATCCGACGTTTAATTGCCCGGTTGTCGAGTTTCGGCTCGCATTACCTACCCGTCTACCCGTGATTCCGTTCCGTAGCCGTGAACTACATTCGTATATACTCTCACTGGGTCCCTGGTCGTCGCGGAATAAATCAGGCTCGCGTATATATATTCTTTACCGGTGTCAATGAAGAGAAATAACGGAGAACGAAAGTGGTTACGCGTCGTTGGCCGGTGTCAACGAGCCAATTAGGCCTTTGTTGTTCAATTAAACACTCCGACGTTTACTTTGCCACGCTTTTTCGCTTTAACTTTTCCTTTTTTTTTTTTTTTTTTTTTTTCGTTACCTCTAAAAAAAGAAACAGAGTTAAAATGGTCGATCAAAAAGAACGCGAGCTTACCTGCAGTCGAGAGTTAACGAGATTAATTGTTACCGCCACGAAATACGCGTGGGAGCAGGCGCAACGGTGTAATTAGCGTTGCGGAGTGGCGGGCAGGAAAAGCGGGGCCGGAATGGCTCGTTTGCAAGAATTACTCAACGTGCAACAGGAACGAGCACAACAACGGGGACGCAACAATATTCTTTACGTCGCGTTACGTGGGTCGGTGTGCTCGCTACCGAATAACCTTTCGCCGGAAACCAGCGTGCCAATTCCTCTCAACCTGTGCTCATTTTTGTTCCTCCTTCTTAATGCGATTTTCCGCTTAAACACTCCAACGCTCAAACGTTCGTTTCAGCCAATAAAAAAAAGAAAAAAGTAGTTGACAAACCATTCAACGTCAATTAAAACAAAAAGGATTAAAATCATTTCCAAAATGAAAAGGAAAAAAAAAAAAAAAACCAAGCAGGCTTGTCAGAAGAGTTAAGAAAAGGGGGATGAAATCTGTCGAACTTCGTTTTGAAAGTCGTTTTGAAAGTCGTTTTGAAAGAAGAACGTCCCGAACGTCTCGGATAGATTAGTGGGAAAGCAAGACTTACATCACCCGCGTTAGAAACGTCGCTGGTCTCGTCGTCGGGGGTGGCAAGGGGCGCGCGAGCCGGCGATACGAGTTCGCCGCTGTTCTCCGCTCGTTGCTCGACTTCCTCGTCGACTTCCTCTCGCTGCTGTTCCTCGCTCTCGATCTCGAGGCACTGCGTCTCGGAGACGATCTTCACGCTGCTTTCGGATATGACCACCTCCGTCTTCTCGATGAACGTCGGCTCGGACACGGAAAGCTCGCTCGACGATTTCGTGATCGCGTTCTGCTCGTCCATGTTGTCGTTCGACTCCTCCTCCCCCTCCTCCTCCTTGGCCCTCAACTCTTCCTCCACCTGCTCCTCCTCCTCCTCCTCCTCCTCCTCCTCCAACCCTCTCGAATCCCGCTGCGGATATCGCTCGTCGCAATTCTCCTCGTTCAACACTCGCCGTTCCGTGTCCAAAAATTCCTCCGTGCTCGCCGCGTCCATCGAGCTATCGAAACGATGCCTCGAAGTTTCGTCGTCGAAACTTTTGCACCGCGTAATTGGCGTGCCACGTGCCTCCTCCTCCTTCTCCTCCTCTTCCTCTTCCTCTTCCTCCGGTTCTTCCTCGACGTCCACCGGTTTCCCCGGAACGGATACTTCCTCGACGAGAATTTTCTCCTCCGACGAGCCGCAAGACTTATCGTTGCTCGATACTTTCGACTCGAACGCGGCCGATTCGGATATCGCGATATCGTCGAAGGGATCGATCCTCTTCGATTCGTCATCGTCCCCCCGCATCCGTTTCCCGAATTCCTCGGCCGGGCAGAGCAACTCCTCCACCCCCTCTTGGCACGAGCCCTGATCGAAATTATCCGAGAATTGGCCGATCATCTGCCGATGATCCTCCTCCCCGTAATTTCCCCGCTCCGTCCACGCGTCCAGCCCTCCAACGTCCTTCTTCCGCGAACCTCCACCCCCAACATCGTCGTCATCGCCCTCCATCGCCCCACCGTCCAATTTCTCCGCATCGGGGCCCACACCCGCGTCCGAAATCACAGACCGAACCTCTATTCCCTCCCGATACTTGTCGACGTCGTATGCGGCTGGTTTCGCGGTAACCCGCTCCTCCTCGAACGACTCCTGGCTCATCGCGTGGACATCCGGCAGTCTGTCCGCGGCCTCGGCAGGCCGAAGGGCGGGATAATCGGGACACGGGTCTTCGTTGTCCTCCTCGTTCCGCGGCTCGAATCCGCCATCGTCCGCCGCCCGGTCACGTGGCCCCTCATCGATCTCGCGCGTCGTTGTTTCTTCGATTGCTATCCCGCTGCCAACTTCCGGCAGCTCCTCCAACACTTGCTTCCCCTCCCCCTCCCGGTAACCGGCCGCGATCGGCTTCGCGTCCCCCTCGTAGCAACGCGTGTCCGCGACCCCCGCGTCGGGCGACACGTGCCCGTTCTGATAGCTGTATATCGGTTTCCCGATCAAACCCGACGAGTGCTCCGTTTCCGCGGCGATGAATTCCGCGTTCACGTCCACCTGCTCCTGCTGCCTGTCGAGCACGATCCTCCTCACCGTTTCCGCCTCCTTCCCTTCTTCCCCGTCCATCTCTATACCGGTTCCGTTCTCCTCCTGCTCCTCCTCCTCCTCCTCCTCCTCCGTCTCTCCGGCGTTGGAGCAAATTCTCAGCGCCAGCTCGCTCTCGATCAACTCCTGAAGGCTTTTGTCGTCCGTGTCCAATTCGTTACGGGTGTTGTTAGTCAGGATTAGATCGTCCTCGTCGTCGTTGCTCTCGCACAACGATATTAGTTGCTTGTTACTCGCGGTTATGTTATCCAACTGGATCAAACCGTTGTTAGATTGAACGCTACACACCTCGCTAGTTTTGCTACTTACTACATTGATCGACTTCTTGGTCGCCACCTCCGCCATTATGGCGCGCCTGGATCGTCGGACAGTCGCACCGTGGACACCTGCGATCAAACCAGAGATTACGTTATTACGGAGGAGGAGAAAAGGAAGGGAAGGGGGAGATTCGAAAGCGAATCGAAGCGAGATTCGATGCAGTATCGAACGTAACGTGGAGAAAAATTTTTGGGTGGAGAGATCGAGGGGGAGGAGGAAATCGCGAGCTCCAATGATTTTACGATTGCGCGAAGAACGCTCGCTCGCTCGAGTGGACGCCATAAAGTGAACGGAAGGTGGAAGAAATGCTTCTCTCTCTCTCTCTCTCTCTGGACAGTTTTACCTAGGTCCACAGGGGGTTAAAACGCCGCCGATTCGAGACTCGAACTCTCCCCTTCCTTCCACTCCGCCTATTGATCTATGCAAAATAATAGATTAAAATTCATTCGATTTCTCTCTCTCTCTCTCTCTCTCTGGACGACGAGTTCTACCTCGGCCCAAAGAGGATTAAAACGCCGCCAATTCGAGACTCGAACCCTTCCTTCCACTCCACCTATTGATCTACGCGATGCAAGATAATAGATTAAATTCTTTCTCCAAGAATTATCTCCTCAGTCGCGATGGATACCGATCGGTGTTGCGCAGCCACCTTTCGGAAGAAGGTCACCGGGTATTTCTGCTCGACCAACCAATTTCTCTCTCTCTCAGTCACTCTGTCTCTCTCGTCTCGGTGAAGGGATGGCGCGTAACAGGAAGAGGAGGTTCGATTCCGCGGCGACGGAATTAGCCTACGACGATTTTCGATTCTGGACGAACACGGTAACGAGAGACGCGGTGCAAGCTCGCTGGCAATGTTGTGCAATTACACGCGTCTTTATGCGCTCTTTGTCCTTTGGAAGTCACTCGGCTATTATTATTAATATCCAGTGTGGATTTGGATCGGATTCGTGTCGCTGCATAAACATCCGCGATCCAAAGATTACGAAAATATGCGGAGGGGAAGGGAGAGAGGGAGGGAGGAGAAGCGAAGACGGTCGCGAGGAGAAGTCGAGTTCTATTCTTAGCTCGTCCCGGATTCGAGTGGGCAACGCGAGCTATCCTTCTTCTTCGGGGGGGAGGGGGGGCGAGGGCGAGATTTCGAATCGAGAAAGGGATCCTCGAAGAGAGAACCGCGTCGAAATTAACGGAACAACTAACGTTCGCATGGAAAACGGTTTGCAAGTTGTGTGCCAAACAAAAGTGGAATTGGATGCGTAAACATCGGCGATCCAAAGATTACGAAAATATGCGGCAGGAAGAGGAGAAGGAGGAGGAAGAGGGAAAATGGAGGAGGAGAAGACGACTCTATACTTAGATTGCTCCGTATTTGACGAACAACGAGAAACGTTGTCCTTTTTCGGGGGACGCAACTTGATTCCGAGATGCGACGGATCCTCGTCCCTCCTCTCTCTTGAACCGATTCGATCGGGGCGAGAGTCCTCTTCCGAGAGAGGGCTCGCGTGCACTCGAAATTAACGGAAGACACGGTCGTATGGAACTCAGGAAGCGGTTGCAGCGGTGCCGCGTTGTTGGCCGCCAAGCCAAATCCTCCTATTATTAGCCATTCCGTGGGTCGCGTATTTACGTGGCAAGGGAATGTATTTCGAAAATGAAATCTGAAACTGCTCAAGGATACGAGCGAGGAACCGTGCTGCTTCCTGGAGCCATGTCGTTTCGCAAGAAATTCCGTTTTTCCAATTCTCGGCCAGATTCGATCGATTCGCGTAACGATCTCGATTCTCGATTTAAATCTGTCGGGTGATCGCAGTTTGGTAAAACGCAGACGGTAAAAAAATTTATTTTATGGACCGACTCTCTCCTCCGTCGCTCGTTAAAGTTATCGTGGGTCGGGAGCTAGCCGTGTCGGGAAGAATACGACGACGTAGAATCCCTCCTAAATACGATAAATTAACGGGTGCGAAGCGAGTAGCGGAGCGCGCGGCGGTCGAGTGGACGTAATACAGGGGTTCCTAAATGTCCCCTTAATGGCTGCAATTACGGTTCCGTGGTCGGGCCGCGCGGGCCGTTTTTAGCGGTTCAGTCGACAAAACAGTGGCGGAACTGTATGTTGACCTAAAGTGGTCGTTAAGGAATATCTAACTGTCTCGTCGACGTCGATTTATTATAACGTTACGTCGTTGTCCGAGTTTATCGAGATGACACGATTGGATAACTGACACGAGTTACACGAGTTAGAAGGCTCGCTCCAAAAGCATAATCCAAACGAGTATCGAGACGATTTACCGCTTCTCGAGATCTTCTATCCCTTTCTTTTTTCTTTTTCTTCTTCGACTCCGTTGCGCGTCGAAAAATTCTCGACAAACGTATCAGCCGTATCGCGGCGCAATAGAATTATGATTTATACGAGCAGAGAAAGAGAAGGGTACGGCCCGATTCTGGCGTAAACTAATCGTATACCGCGCCGCGGTAAAATTAGAAAGTGGCCGAGGCGCGCATGCGCCGGTGCCACGGCGTCCCCGCATCGCGCATGCGCGCTCGTTTCTCCACGCTTCTATACCGATGATATTTAAAAGCGCGCAGAACGCTTTCTGTTGTCGTCGTTCCTCTCGACTCTTTCGCGCCGGTGTCCGTTTAATTCGATCTTCCTTCCTCCTCGCTTTCTTTCTCTCCTTCTGATTCCCGTATTCCCTTTCTTTTCCTCCCGTTCCCAGCGTTCGTCCATCTTTTTTCCCCGCTTTCGCTCCATCTCTTTCGCGTACGCGCTTACCCGTACAAACCATCTCTCTCTCTCTCTCTCTCTCTCTTTGTTCTTTTCTCTCGTCCCTCTCTTTGGTCGGCGTTTCTCCGAGGTCGTTCTTCGGGTTCACGACCGGGACTATAGGATCCCCTTCTCTCTTTCTCCCGGATCGCGGCTAACTCTCTCGTTTCAACCTCTCCTCTCTATTTTTAGAATGACACACTACCGCGATTTAACGAGGCTCGGATCGAGACTCTCCGCCGCGCCGCAGCCGGGAAATCCTCTGCCCAAAAGCGGTCGCGAACGAAAGCGACAGCGCCACTTTTCGTTTCGATTCGCGCGACGTTCCCTCCGCGTTCCACCACCCTCGATTCTCCTTTTCAACGTGGTACGCCGTCGATAAACGGCCGTCGCGTTTCCCCTTCGTGCTTCGTGAAAATATCGTGAAAATGTCGTAAAAATAAAATTCTCCGCTGAATAAAAGGAAACGGTTGCAAAAGAGAATAAACGACGTTCGTTTTTTCTTTCGAATTTATGTCCCATCGATAATAATGAACAGACGCTTGTCTCGTTGACCGCGCTCTTTTACCTCGTTCTCTCCAATTCTCGAGATACACTCTACTATATCGCAGCTAGAGATTTTTCTAAGAGGATTCCATCGTCTTTTCAGACCAGTCTGCCGTGGTTGCCTACGCACAGGCGCTTCCCTCTTCGCTTCGTAAACGAACAAATCTTTCTTTCACGCGACTCTTTTAATTCTTTCGTCCAATTTACGAAATGCAGACGCATCTCGTAAAATACTTTATATAGTATATATTCCAAAGTTTTCACCTTTAATTCGTATCCAATCTTATTCGCATATTCGTATCGAAGAAGAGTTGGAGAATTGATGTCAACTTTTCGAACAATGGAGGAAAGGGTTCCTTCGGGAGAAGTGGTCCCTCGTAATTAAACCACGACGACGAGGGGACGGAGTGCAGGCGGAGTAGGGAAGTCTGCCCAAACGAAAGCGCAAGGTTCGCCCGTAAATTGCAGTATCACGCTGTATTTGCACAATCATTTCGGACGCGCGGCGAACGTGGATGGGTGTCGAGGGTGTCTACGCTCTTTTCTTCCGTTTCTGCGCGCCCACTTGGAGTGTTGCAACCGCGTTATAATTGCGCCAATTTGCCTTCATCCGAAATTTTCAAATTTTCACTCTCCATAAATAATCGACACGCGATTACTTTATACCATACAGACAATTCTGTCGATAATTCGAGTTTCATGGTTCGATCATAAAAATATCATCGTTTCAATATGAATTAGGAATAAAAACACTCTTCTTGTCCTGCCTTACTTACTCGAACAACTAATTTGCATATATTCGTGCATCTCTGGCACGAGAGAGGGATATCGTACGTATTATAATTAAACCCCTATCTCGATAAGATACGGTATACTTACAGTTCAAAAAGCAGTTTCTCGCGTCTTCCGCGAAACAGGAAATACTTTGATCAGACGACGACACGAATGTTACGTTTCAAGAAAAGAAAGAAAAAAAAAAGGAAAGGATCAATTCGAAGAAGGATCGTTAAACCTTAAAGGTTCAATTAGCGCTGTTTAATTTACGTAACTGGAATTGATGCGGCGAAAGGGATCGATTACCGACGTCGTCGAGTCGCTATGCGTCGGATAAAATCAAACCGCAAGCGGGTACGTAATCGATAATGGAAACTTGGCTTCCTCGATTTCGACTCGTATATCTCGTATACGGAGAGTCCATGCATCCCCCCATTTCGTATTTCTGGCCCGCGTGGAGGAAACTTGGGCTCGAAAATAGAATACGTGGCCGATGCAACGGGTCGAGAACCACATAAATCCGTTTCCGAGGAATTATACCAAATTCGAGTCGAAATTCGTTCCAATTCCAACCGACCGATTTCGACACGCGGAAGTATCTCCTCGACGGATGCGGAATTCTACTCGCCACGCTTCACGAGGATCGCAAGTCTCGAGTATTGGCCAATTGAAATCTCTTCGCTTCGAAAATGATCTGGATCTGGTCGACGTAAATACGGTGCGAATATCAATCAACCTCGATCCTTTTCGATCTGGGTCCCAGATAGATATTCCAATTCTTCGAAAAAAGGGATCGTAGGCGAAGTAAACTAGATAGAAAAGATAGATAGCTGACAAATCGAACGAAACAAGGTTCGATATCTAATCGAATGGCCGAGGCGATCGAGACTCTTCTTATCTCCTCCCTTGGAAAAAGATTGGCGGAAATAACCACTATCTGCTCGTCAAGTGTCGAGGATTATATAGAACAAGTTACACGATAATATCTGA